TGGGTGGCTCAGTGGGTTAATGCCTCTGCCTTCAGCTCAAGTCATGATCTCAGGGTCCTGGGATTGAGCCCCGCATAGGGCTCCCTACTCAGCAGGGAGCCTGCTTACTCCTCTCTCTCTCTTGCTCGCTCGCTCTCTCTGACTGCTTGTGATCTCTCTCTGTCAAATTAAAAAAAAAAAAACACACAAAAGGAAGTTCTCTGGGCTAAAAAGATTGACCCCAAGGAATTCCAAGGAGTACTTCAAATCCATTATGAAAACAAAAACAAAAACAACAAAGGTAATTAGTAATTATAAAAGACAATATAAATACACCTTTCTCCTTCCCTCTTTTAACTGATTTACAAAGGAATTGTATAAAACAATATGTAGGTAATGTATGGTTAGCTCTATAACATACAGAAATTCTTTATCTGGCAAAATAATCTTTCAAAAATGAAGCAGAAATGAAAACATGCCCAGAAAAACAAGAGCTGAGGGGCTCTCCCCTAGCAGGCCCGCCCTTATGAGAGACGCTAACGGAGCTCTGCCGGCTACAACCAAGCTGCACTGGACGAGAACCTGAAACCACACAAAGGAGTAACAGACGATAATAAACTTTACTACATGGTTAATATAAAAGCCAGTGTTTTTCTCTTTTTTACCTTGAATTTTCCTATCTGACTTAAGAGACAAATACATTGAGCAATGATTATAAATCTACCTCAATGGGCACATGATATCCCCGTGAACGGTGACAACAACTTGAAGTGGGAGGTACAGAACTGTGGGGGACATAGCCCTGGACAGTACTGAAGCTAAATTGGTGTTAATTCAAACTAGGTTGTTGTAAACTTAATATATTAACTGTCATCCCCACAGGAAGCACTAAGAACATAACTTACAAGTACAAGCAATAGGAAACCAGAGGGGAATCAAAATGGCACGCTACTAGAAATAATCAACCGAGCACAAAAGGAAGCACTAAAGGAGGGCTATGGAACAGAAAAAGACATAAAATGTACAGATAAAAACAAGATGGTAAAAGGTCGCCTTTGTCACTAATTACTTTAAATGTAAATGGATTAAATACTCCAATTAAAGGGCAAAGATTGGGAGAATGGATTTTAAAAACACATGATCCATTTAAATACTGTCTGTAAGAGATTCACTTTAGATACAAACCAGAGCAGAGTTAAAAGTGAAAGGATGCAGGGGCGCCTGGGTGGCTCAGTGGGTAAAGCCTCTGCCTTCGGCTCGGGTCATGATCTCAGGGTCCTGGGATCGAACCCCACATCGGGCTCTCTGATCGGCAGGGAGCCTGCTTCCTCCTCTCTCTCTCTGTCTGCCTCTCTGCCAGCTTGTGATCTCTATCAAATAAATAAAAATCTTAAAAAAAAAAAAAAAGTGAAAGGATGGAAAAATATATTCCATTCAACTAGTGACCCAAAGAGTACAGGACTGGTTGGTCATTCTGATAGCAGGCAAAAATAAACCCTAAGTCAAAAGCTGTTACTAGAAACAAAGGACATTCTATATTGATAAAAGGGTCAGTCAAGAAGACATAACAATTATAAAACTACACACACCTAACAAGAGAGCCCCAAAGTAAGTGAAGCAAAAACTGACAGAATGGAAGAGAGAAAAAGACAGTTTTGGGGAACCTGGCTCAGTGGTTAAGCGTCTGCCCTCGGCACAGGTCACAATCCCAGAGTTCTGGGATGGAGCCTTGTGTTGGGTTCCCTGTTCAGTAGGGAGTCTGCTTCTCTCTCTCTCTCCACCCCACTGTGCTCTTTCTCACTATCTCTCTTTCTCAAATGGATGAATTCTTTTTTTAAAGGCAGTTTTACTATAATAGTTGAAGACTTCAACACCCCACTTTCAATAATGGATGGATCATCTAGACAGAAGAGCAGTAAGGTAACAGAAAACTGAACATTATAAACCAGCAGACCTGATGGACACAGACAGATGTTCCATGCAACAGTGGAATATCCTTAGACATATTCTTAGAATATGTTTAGATATTCTTAGAGATATAGTCCTAGAGATAAGTGAAAAAGGAAGCACAACACACCAAAACTTATGGAATGCAAAAACAGCAATGCTCAGAGAGAAATTGATAGCTATGAATGCCTTCATAAAAGAGATCTCAAATCACTAACCTAATTTTACACGCTAAGAAGCTAAAAAAGAAGAGCAAACTAAACACACAGCTAGCAAAGGAAGAAAATAATAAAGATCAGATGAGAAATAAATGAAATAGAAAGTAAAAAAAAAAGGCGGTGGGAGAGGAAGGGGAAAATCAACGAAACCAAATGTTGGTCCTTTGAAAAGATCAACAAAATTGGCAAAGCTTTCAGCCAGACCAAGAAAAGAGAGAACTCAAAGTACTAAATCCAAAATGAAAGTGGGTACCTTACTAATGACTAACAGAAATTTAAAAGGATTCTAAGAAAATACTACAAACAACTGTGTGCCAACCAATTAAATAACCTACATGAAAGGGACAATTTGAAGAAATACATAAACTACCAAATCTAAATCAAAAGGAAATATAAAATCTGAACATACCTATAACAAATAAGTAGACTGAATAATGCATCAAAACCCTCCAACAAAAGGACCACCACGGTGGCTCAGTCAGTTAAGCATCTGCCTTTGACTCAGGTCATGATCCCAAGGTCCTGGGGATTTCTCAGTTTGAATTAACACTGCACTGGGCTACACTGGGCTACCTACTTGGTGGGGAGCCTACTTCTCTCCCTTTCCCTCTGCCTCTCCCCTGCTTGTGTTCCCTCTCTCGCTGTCTCTCTGTCAAGTAAATAAAATAAATCTTTAGGAAAAACAAAAATCAAATTTAAAAAACCTTCCAACCAGATGGCTTCACTGATGAATTTTATCAAACATTTAGAGAAGGAAACACTTAACTCATTCGGTGAGGCCAGCATAGCCAAAGACATGACAGGACCACAGGACTCTACAATTTGACAGGTAACTGTGTGGCACAGGAATAAAGCTGTTATATTAAATGTAACTAATGTGAACACCCAATTAAAAGGTGAAGATTGTCAGACTGGATTTGTTGTCTACAAGAGTCTGTGGGGAGGGGCTACCCCCCTTTAAAGGAGGTACCCTTCAACAAATGGGTTAAAGTTTAAGGAGACAGAAAACATATATTAACACTAGTCAAAATAGAGCCAGAGCAGTTAAATTAATATCAAACAATATAGATTTCAGAAGAAAGAAAATCAGCAAAATCAAGATGGTCACTTCATACTGCTGGAAGGTCAATTCCTCCTAACAACCCTAAATGTTAACAGAGTTTCAAAATATTGTTAATCCAAACTGAGAAAACTACAGAGAGGAATAGGCAAAGGGACAGAGTTAAAGATTTCAATGCTTCCTTTCAATAACTGACAGAACAAGTCAACCCCAAATCAGCAACATGGTAGATTTAAACAAGACTGTCCTCGGCTTGATCTGATTCACATTTATGGAAATCTCCATCCAACACCATCAGCTACACAACGTCCCCAAGTGCACATGGGACATTTGCCAAGATAGGCCACACATTCAAGACAAAGTATGTTCTCTTAGTACAGAGGAGTTACATGAGAAATTAATACAGAAAATATCTGGAAAACCTCTCAAATATTTGGAAACTAAATAAGATACTTGTAAATAATCCATAAAGAAGTCAAAAGAAAATTAGAAGGTGTCCTGAAACAGAATGAAAACGAAAAGAACATATCAATGTTCCTAAACTGATAGTAAGAGGTGAAAAGGGAAACTTATATCAAGAAACGCCTATATTAGACAAGAAGAAAGGTCTCAAATCAATGACCTCAGCTTCCACCTTAAGAATGAGGAAAAGAACAGGGACGCCTGGCTGACTCGTCCGTTGAGCAACAAACTCTTAGTTTCAGCTCAGGTCCTGATCTCAGGGTCACTGGGTCTCTGCTTGAGATTCTCTCTTCCTCTGCCCTTACACCCCACTGCTCTCGCCTCACCCCTCACTTGAATGTGCTCATGTGTGTGCTCTCCCTCTAAGATAAATAAATCAGTAAGATCTTAGAAAAAAAAAAAAAAGAATTAGGAAAAGAACAAATTAAACCCAAAGTAAGCAGAAGAAAGAAAATACAGATCAGAGTGGAAACAGAAAACAAAATAGAAAATATATATATATATAGAAAATCACTGAAACCAAAAGCTAGTTCTTAATAAGATTTTTAAAAAAGTTGATCAAAAAGAAATCTAATGTCCCAAGGAAATAATTTTAAGAAGTAGAGGTAATCAATAATATGATCAATCACACTAAAAATAAAACACCCAACAGCTTTAATAGGCTGAGTAAGTGTAAAGTACGCACGGTGATCTCATACAAACTCTTAACAGAGAATAAGAAATTTAGGTGTTCCACCTTAATAAGTGATAAACTTTATTATTCAGGATACTCTTTACCAGGATTTGAAAACGAAATTATTATGAAAGTTAAGAAAAGAAAATCTTATTTGGAGCAGAGTCAAGAGGCCGGCAGGGGGCCTGCTGTGGCCAGCCCTGGTTATCAATTACAGACCCAACAGGAAGAGAAGCACCTTGCAGGTGGGTACCACTTCACTAACCCAGTTCCTGGACTGAAGGTTTCCCACTGCCCCGGCAACAGCCCAGCCAATGAGAGACGGCCACCGTCCAGCCAATGAGAAGCCACTATACTCCCAGCTCCCGGTTCCCTCCAATGGACTTTCTGTTTACAACCGCCCCCCCCCCCCCTATAAAAAGAGACTGCGGCGCTCAACGTCTGCACCTGCCTGGGGTTCCGGCACCTGCCTGGGGTTCCGGCACCTGCCTGGGGTTCCGGCACCTGCCTGGGGTTCCGGCCGGGAGCCGTGCGGCCTGGGGACTCTGCTCACCCCCGAGCACCGCCTCTCTGCTGGTGGAAGAGCCCGAGGTGGTGTGTAAGTCCACAGGCCACGAGAAGGTGTCCTCACCGTTGACTGCTAGACCGCCCGGTCACTCACCTCCTCGGGGTGCAGGAGAGTCGTGCCCTCCGATGACCACGGAGATCCCCGAGTCTTCCAGCCGCCCCTTCCATCTCTCAATGATGGCCGCAGACTGATCCTGGAAGCACGAGGAGCTCGCTCGGAACAGCCCGGAGGGACGCGCGCAAGGCCGCGTTCCCACCGGGAAGGCGGGCACTACCTGACTGGCGTCGTTGAAGACCGAGAGCTCCATGGAGCCTTGGAAGTCCTGCTGCAGGACGGACCGCAAGCACTCGTCCAGCCAGGGCTCGGCGTTGTGCACCGGGAGGATGACCGACTGCGAGCCAAAAGACACGGGTTAGCGCGCCCCGGGACCGTCAGACCGTCCGCTCGGCGGTCGTGTGCCTCCCGGCCCCCGCGGGCTTCCCGAGGCCGAGGCCGGACTCACCTGAGAGCCCGCAGGGAGGCCGCAGGGAGAGAGGGCGCCCGCCCCCCGCCGGCTCCCCGAGACTGAGCAGACCAGGTCTCCCCGCACTGGTCTGTGGGGCACTTCGGAGAGACACCGGGAGTCTGAGAGGCGCCCGCTCCTTCGCGACCCCACAGCGCAGCCAGTGTTTGCCCATCACTGGTCGGCAGCATCGTCTTGGGAGACGAGCGTCCGCAGGTCTCCCTGCCCCGCCTGAGAATAACCTCCCGGTCCCTCTCTCGGCGGACGAGCTTTTTCGGGAAACAGCGACGTCAGAGACGCCGCACGCACCTCGATCCTCCCGCAGGCTAGTGAAGAGCGGCGGGTGCGGGGACGACGCCGTGACCCCGACCCCTCGGCCCTTCCGCCCTCGTCGCCCGGGGGTCTGCTGCGGGGGCCTCCCGCGGCCGCGACCAGACACACGCGTGGGAAGTGAGCGGGCCAAGCCGGGCAGCCCGACCGCCGGCAGCGGGCGGCGGGCGGACGCGGGTCCTCGGACACGGACGCCGGGACCCCCAGCCCGGAGCCCGCGCCCGGCCGCGGTGGCACGAGGCCACGCACGGACACGCGTGTGTGCAGCGTCCACGGGGAACGTGCGCAGGTCGCGGAGCACCGAGCCCGAATGCGGTGTGGACAAGCTCGAACACCGGACGTGCAACTCCGTTAAGCCCTCGACTCCGGGCCTCCGACTCAGCTGCCCCTTCCCGGATTTGTGGGACCGGAGAAGCGGTCCCCTGCCGCATTCACGTGCGCATTTTTAAAGGAAACACTGTTCTTAAAAGGAAAAGGAGGGAGTGTTTCACTGTCCTCCAATCTGCCGCGTAAAACACGTCAAGCCCCACGGTGGGCTTCATCGGCTTCCCGGGCTGCGGCCCCTTCGGGCGGAGACCCTCCTGAGCAGGCCTTCGGGAAGGCTGACCCTCCGCAAGGAGGGAGCGGGGGAGGGAGGACGCGAGGGGAGAGAGAAGGGAAGGGGCGGGGAAGGGGCGGGCGGGGGGTGGGGGGAAGAGGAGAGGGAGGGAGAGAAGGGAAGGGGCGGGGAGGGGGGGAGAGAAGGGGAGGGGGCGGGGGAGAGGGGGGCGGAAGCGGCCCCCGCGGCCCGGCCACCTACCACGTGGGGCGCAGCGGCGGCAGCGGCGGGGTCCCCCCGGGCCCGCATGGCCACGCGCTCCGGCAGCCGCCCCGCCCTCGGAGCCTCCGGCGCTCCACCGCCCACATCGGCCTGCGGAGCGTGCGCAGAAAGCTCCGCGAGAGGCGGGGGCCGAGGCTGGGGCGCATCCTATTGGTGCGGAGAGCTATCGATCGGCGGGGAGTAGAGAGGAGCAGCCTAGAGAGGTCGGAAGCCCGAGGTGGGTGGGGAGCACTGCGCGGACCCGGGGAGGGGGCGGGCCTGGAGGGAGGGGTGGGGGAGGGGTGGGTCAGTGGGAAGGAGGTCGGGGGGCTGGGTGCACGGAAAGGGGCAGGCGCAGGGGAGGGGGCGGGTTAGCGGGGAAGGGGGAGGTGCGAACCCGTGGGGAGGGATGGAGCGAGGGGCGGGGCGGGGGGGTGGGGGAGGGCCCAGGTCGGGGTAGAGGGGGTTGGGAGGAGGAAGGGTTAGAGGAGCGGGCACAGAGAGAGGGAGGACAGGTGAGGGGGGAGTGACGGCAGGGCAGGGGGCGGGCCCGTGGGGAGGGCAGGGAGGCAAGGGGGATATCAGGTAGATGTTAGTGGAGGGCAGGGCAGGGCAGGGGGACTGGGGGAGGGGAAGGGTTGGGGCAGGGGGCGCTGCGCGCCAGGGGTCCAGACAACGGCGGCATCTTGTGCTCTGGAGGCTGGGCAGCCCCTGTGTCCCTCCACCCTCCTCTTTACTCTGGCCCTTGGCCTCCAGCCCTGCTGCTCTCACCTGAAGGAGTGAATCCCTCCGAGGTCCTCAGTGAAATGAAATGTTATAAAAATACTGAGGTCGTGGAGAAGGTGGGCTTTGTACCAGAGAACCGCGCTTTACAGTTGGTTACACCTGAAAATCCAAACCAGATGACCTTTCGCATAACCGTTTTTAAAAGAAGGCAAGCAGGTGACATGTCCTCTGATTGACGCGACAGTGGACAAGGAGAAACCTGGCAGGGGGGTGGGGTGGACAAGGACACCTGAGCTGTCCCAGCAAGGAAGGGGTGCAGGGGGCAGGGGCCTGGCTGTGCCCCTGGCTGGTATCAGCCCCTCCTGTCTGCGTCCCCGGCAGGAGAAGGGCTGCCCCCTGCCCGGGGCTCTGGGGCTGCGGTGTGGGTGCCTTAGAACACCTTCCCACAGGTGCCCCCTCCAGCTGTGCTCAGTAGAGGCTCTCACTCTCTTACCGGGTGGGGTCCCCTCAGCTGTGAGAACGTCTGCCCCTCCTGGTGGGACCGGCCCCTGGGGGCCCACTGAGTCCTGCCTGGAGCTGGTAGACGGGCCAGCACACTCTCCCCACCTGGGCTGTGTCCCAGCGGATGTCAATCAATGAGCAGGGTTGGAGCCCGGAACTAGGATTAAATGTGGGTGGTTCCGCACACTAACAGTGCGAGCACGGCCACACTTGTGCCATAGGTTTTTTAAGCATCACTTCAAATGTAGTTTTTCCTTAACCTGCGTCTGTATTTGCAAAGCCTGTTGTAAAGGTTGAAACTCTTAGGTCAGATGAGTGAAGATGCCACCTTGTTACGGTGGGACAAAGGCAGTCTGGGAATTTGTTCCCAAGGACCTAATGTTCTCCAAAGGTTGGCATATTGGGAATAGTTGATTTTAAGCAAGTAGGTAAGAAGTCTCATGGCAGCTACCGGAACACCCGTGGGCTTAGAGCCAGCACCTCCTCCGTGTGTGTGGGAGGAAGAGGTGGGGGGCCACACCGGGTGCCTCACGCCTCCACAGAACGTGGTATCGAGCTCGGCTTGGCTGCCCCGTCTTGCTTCCTGCACCTCTCTTGCTGCCAGAAACTTGGTTTTTACTGCCTTTCGGGTCATCAGAGTTTGGCTATTATCTGCCTTTTGCAGACAGAGTGCCGGGAGGCACTTCAGAAATGCAGAGTTGAGGCTGGGGGAAGGCCAGAGACAAGTCCCTTCACAGGTGAGAAGATTCTCAACAGAGAGACCAGGCCCTGGGGACTGACCCCTGCCTGCACCAGAGGGACAGAGGGAGGACTCAGGGGGACTGAAAATATGAATGAAGTCACAGGGCATGTAAGGGGAGGCACCGAAAACTCCGGCTGTGGGTGCGTGGAATGACCTTTCTGTTACAGTTGCGACTTGTGCAGACTAAAGGGTGGGTTCCGGTTGTATTCAGAAGACCTGGCACCAGTTTCGAGGGCTTTCAAATTTAAAAACTGCCCAACAGGGACTTAAGATGCTGGTGTTGGGGCCAAGATGCAGTGAGGTCTGGGTGCTGGGCCCCAGACCCATAGTGAGACTTCCTTGAGGGCGACAGGGAGGGGTGAGTTCGAGCTCCAACAACAGCCGGGCATCCCCAAGAGCCAGCTCTGCAAGACCTGTGGACGTGCTTCGCAGGTTTCCTGGCAGGATGAACCCCAGCAGAGCTCCAGCTCCACCTGCCAGGACAGTGGGGCGGCCAGGAGGCCAGGAAGAGCCAGGCACAGAGGAGGGCAGTGTGCTTGGCCTCCAGGGGACGGGCTGCCACGGTGGCCAGAGCCCTGGAGAGTCAACATGTTTTCAGGGGAGCAGCCAGCTGCCTGGCCATGTGTGGCCAGAGCTGGAACGGTCTCGTCTCATGTTTTGAGGTGGCTGGGGAACTCACCATGTTAGTTTAATGGCTCACCAAGGAGCGGCAGCCAGTCTCTAAACAAAGTAACCTGTGGGACGGAGGCCTGGTGTGGACGTGAGCATGTCAGTTCCATTTTCAGCAGCCCAAGTTCTTGGACCTCAGACCTGTTGAGGTTCTGTTGCCGCCGCAGGGACTCTGGCTCATTCTTCCATCCCCTCCAGCTGGTTATCCACTAGGTGCAGGGTGAGGGTGCCCAGACCCCGCTGCTGTCCCCACAGCCACAGGCAGGGGTCGGCCAGTGGGTGACGGTGGAATCAGGAACAGCACCTTGAGGGGACAGCCCAGGAGTTCCATTGTTCCCTTCTCCTCCGAGGGCTCTCAGCTCTCCCTTGGAGCACTGACTCCCAGCTCAGCCATTCTCTCTGGAGTGACCCCACCCCTACTGGGCGGAGGAGCAAAGTGCTGTCCTGAGGAGGACCACTGGAGTCCCACAGAGACCCGAAATCGTGTCCTGTGAAGGTGCGCGGGGAGAATGAAGACCCCACTGAGCACCTTGCCCATAAAGCACGCAAGGAATGTTTCCCGAGGGATAACTAATGGATGGAGGCCGTCGTTCTACCCATCTGCATTGTTCTAAGATGGACCAGGTCATCAGGAGCTCTGCAGAGAGGGGAGATTCCCATTAGCTAAGCATCTCCTGTGTGCCAGGCACTATCTCATGACTTTCTGGCACACACGACTGACCTGAAGCCAGAGTCTGGACTCTGTCACTGGCCTGGCTGCAGGAAGTAATGAGGTTCCCATCAGAGGCTTCATTCAAGGGACAGCTGAGCAAACATCTGGAGTGGGTGTGATGCAGGCATCTGAGTATCACATGGAATGTCTGTCTCTTGGCCTGGGCACCCAGAAAGCAGAGCCTCAGCCTGGGCCTTTTCAGTGAGGGTTTTTGTCCCTAGGAAGCTGGGAGCAAGGGAGTGAGGCAGGGAAGGAGAGGGAGCCAGGACCAGTGTGCTCGGTTGATGGCACCCCCACTACGGGCTGCTGGACCTGGACCCCTGAACCCTCCCAGAGCTCTGGGGAAGTGTCCATTGGAGCACGAGGGGGAGAAGACTTAACCCTTGGTCTTGTCATCTGGGGTTGCGCTTTGGGTGGCATTTACTCCCCTGCACTTCTGGACAGTGGTGCAGGGTCCCACAGGTGTCCCCTGAGGTGCCTAGCATGCGGCCGGCCAGGTGAGGGCTGCCCAGAACCGAGTGCCCTGGGTCTGGCTAGAACCAGAGACAGGACCCAGAGGACAACAAGGGTTGAGCGAGAGGCGAGAGGAAGTGACACAGGTTGGAAAGGCAGAAGGAAACTTAAAACAGGGCCTCTGCCTGCCACCAGCAATGGCTCCGGAGTGATTTCAGCCGTCTGCTCTCCAGGTCCTGGGTAACTCACAGGTGGGTGGCAGGTGCTGGTGGGAGAGGTGTGGATGGCGCGGTGTCAGTGCTCAAGCACCCTGAGGCCAGGGCTCAGACAGCATCCGGCGAAAGGCCAGGAGGGGCCGGTTAGATGTCTTCCTCCTGTGTTTTAACAGGAGGATGTCATCTGTGGGAGGAAGCCAGAGGTCTCAGGGGAGACTTGAGGCTTTGAGTGAGGCCTCAGTGGCAAAGCCAGGGGCCACCGGGGGCCTGGCAGGGTGTTAGCCGGGAGCCTCCCCCAGCCCCCTCAGCACCTGTCCCTGGTAGCTCGCCTGGGTGAGGGCTCCACAGGCTCCGACACCCATCAAGTCCTCCACAGCTAGAACGAGGCTCGGGGCACTACTGCAATGTTCTTCCAACCGCAGCTATGCTGCCCATGGGAGAGGGCGTGTTGACGTAGTGGCCAGGCATGCGGAGCGAAGCCAGGGTTTGGGGCCACACCAGCACTCTTTCTGGGTTCTGCTCCTTCCTGGCCGAGAGGCCCTGGGCATGTCTCAGCCATGGCACCTGTGTGATCCTCCGCTTCTCATCGCCTTGCTCTAGTCCACACTGTGTGGGAAGGCACAGTGTAGGCCGTGGTCTCAGGCTCGGAGAGCCGATGTCTGCCCTGTGCACCTGCCATGCCTCTGGGGGTCCCACAGCAGGAACCAGCCCTGGAGACTCCCGGCCCTGGCAGCCACAGAACCCCCACCTGTGGGCCCCCACTGGCAGGACCTCCTGCCAAGCATGATGCCCTCTGTGCCCCCCCCCCCCACCGCTTCCCACCACAGTCCTCCTCCAATGCAGCTCATGGCCCTGTCGGCCAAAGGACCTACCATTCTCTGTGTCTCCTGCTTCCCGGCCCTCCGCCATGTAGCCCCTTTCCTGCCCCTGCGTGAGCTGGTCCCACCAGCTCCACCACGAGCTGCTCCCACCCTGATCTACTTCCTTCCCACCCCGAAGCTGATTCCTACTCGTCCTTCAAAGCTGAGCTTGGTATCCTCTCGCTGTGTCCTCCGGCAGTGCCCTGTGGCTCCGGAACGGACAGCACGTCCTA